AAATATACACAATGGAATTCTATGCCTCCATCAGAAAGAATGACATTGCCCCATTTGTTAGGAAATGGAAAAACTTGGAAAAAATTATATTAAGTGAAGTAAGCCAGGCCCAAAGAAACGTAGGTCCCATGGTTTCCCTTATTTGTAATATCTAGTATATGTATGAGTCAAGCGGAAAAGGTCAGATAAGGTGATGTCAGGAAAATGAACCCTTAGATGTGTATTTTAATGTTTTTTTCTTTCATGCATGTGTTTCTAACACATTTATAACATTACCTCTTTGTTGCTTTGTATGTCCCTCCCCCACAGTATAACCCCTGCTTTCACTATATTTGATGTCAGTATAACTTGTGGAGGAGATGGGGAAAAACCAGTTGTTTAAGGATACAGGTGGACCTGTTGCAACAATGAGAAGTACAAGTTGTCATGTCCAAAACGAGCTTTACAACGTTGGTGCGGGGGGGGGGGGGGGGGGAGAAGGGGGGGAAGGAGAAGGATTGGGATTAGGGGGCGAGGGGGGAGGCTGGGAAGGGATGTGAAGGGTAAACAAAGGAGGAGGCTGCAATGCTTGGTAAGAAATGTACACATTATCCTGCCCATGTAACTGTAACTCCTCTGTACAGTATGTTCACAAATAAAATTAAATTAAATAAAAAAAAAAAAGAAGAAGTTATGAGTAGTCAACCTTCAAAAGGAAAATTTCCAGAGTTCCTTAAACTGCTCTGGATTCTACCAACATCTGCCACAACTTCCCGAAAGCTTAAGGAAGGACACACGTTCTGCTGATTTTTCACAAGGAAATATGTGGATGTGGGTTATTCATAGGGCTCAGGGAGTCTGGGCAAAGGATAGTCATAAAGACCTTGAATGGTCCAGAAATGTGAGAGTGGTACCTGTATTTCACAAGGGCTAAAGCAACAGTTCCCAACAGGGCAGGGCAGGTGATGTTTGAGACATGGGAGGAGGAACTTCAGCAATCACTAGTGCTAATGGCATTTAGTTCACTAGAAGTAGAGGTGTTGTGTTCAGTAATGCACAGCACAGCATCCACAGTTTAAAAAAATAAAAACTGCCGGGCGCCAGTGGCTCACACCTGTAATCCTAGCTACTCAGCTGAGATCTGAGGATCATGTTTCAAAGCCAACCTGGGCAGAAAAGTCTTTGAGACTCTTATCTCCAGTTAACCACCAGAAAACTGGAAGTGGCGCTGTGGCTTAAGTGGTAGAGTACTCGCCTTGAGCTGAAGAGCTCAGGGAGAGTGCCCAGGCCCAGAGTTTAAGCCCCATGACCAACACCAACAACAAAAAAATTGTCTCACACCATCACCTTTGTATTGTCTTGTCTTGCCACACACTCATGTGGGCTAAAGCTCTGTTTATAGTATCAGAGCTTAGATTCTAACTCTTTCACATAAAACACTGAGCAAACCCTTATGTACTCTTCTATCCCCCTTCTCAACTCATCCCTACTCTATCCCCAGATCTCTAAAGTGCTTAAAGAAAACTAGGTCACCTTTGGGTACACTTACACATGCACATGCGCGCGCGCACACACACACACACACACACACACATATTACTTACATGACTTAATAACGAAAACCGGAAAGACAAGTCGTTTATCATTATGCATAAGAATAGGTTTGCAGATTTTTTAAAAAGTATAGACCCAGTTATTACAGGCAGAAATTATTCATGTGGCTTCTATAAAATTTCATCACGGTAGATTGACAAGAATTGAAAGTAAAAGTTTGGGATCCTAACTGAAGGGACTGAGTGAGTATCATTCCAATCCTGTTAGCGAACCACTAACTAAGGAAGCATTATCTTATTATTTCACTACTCAAGGAAACTTACAGGACAGACGTGTCTTACCCAGTGAGTTGGTCCCCTGTGATATGTAATGTCTCACAGGTTGAACAGCTGCTACAAACATTAGCCACAATGGGGGTGGTGCCACTTCTGTTATATTAAGACTTTACAGTCAATCCGATGTGTGAATAATGGAATGCGGTAATGCAAATCATCTCGCAATAGCCCAAGTGAGGCAGGGCTCTGATGGCACAGCTGAAATAGGTTAGCTACTTACAGTGGCTTTGTTTTCCTATCTCTAGGGTGGACACATGGCTACTAACAAATACCCACTCTCCGTGGCTGTCCCTAAAATAGATCAATGACCACAGGTTGCCAGGCAGCTGTATTTTAATGTCATTCCCCCAAGTGCCAATGCGAAAGAATCACCGTCTCTTTATTCCAGTCCTTTCCAGTTAAACACGACATTTAAGCAGCTGATAAAATGTTCAAAATATTCTAAAGACTTAGCTTCATTTGCTCATATTTTCACATTTCTGTCTGGATAAAAAAAAAAATTACCTCGACAAAAAGTGACTGCTTGCATTACTGGCAATTATTTAAAAGAAACATTAGCTATGAGGGTATTATTTATGTTGGTCAAGCTTACATTCTTTGAAATTGAACATCAGTCCGTCCACACAAGGACAGAGTGATAAAGGCAATTCAAGTCTGACTGTGAATTATTTATATTGTAGTGTTTCTAGAGAAGTAAAATTTGAAGTTCAGGTTAATATCAAAATGTTATCCTAAAAAGAAACAGTTGGCATTAAGAATATGAAACCTTCATTATACATAACTCTGTGTTATTCTGTAGCCCTCATGTTGTAAAACATGAAACTCCTGATCACAAGAACCTATGTTCCAACAACAGAGTCACTGTCTGGACATGAGTATCTGTGGAATGTCAAATCTTGTTTTAAAATTGAAATTATAAATTGTATAGAAGCCATCAGATATAGGGGGCAAGGGGAGATAAGTATACTACAGGGTTAGGTATATCCACTTAATTACTGATCTTAAAATCTCAGGTTACTCAGCCATGTTTGTCAGCTTAACACCACGGGGCGCCTTTATCTGAGTGACCACCCTGTCATCACACCTTGTATCTCCTTCTCCTGTTGAGTAGTCAATGGGACTGGATTGCATCTGCTTTTAGACATCTTTATTTTCCTTCATGATCAACTGTACTTTCAGTTGCTTAGAAACCTGCCTCAGGAATAGCTAAACCTTACTAGGTTTTGTGTCTATAACTAATGCAAAATTTTGCAGAAGGCTAATACCTTGTATAACTATTTCAATCTAGCAGCATTTTCAAACTAACTGGAAATGCACAGCCAGGATTCAATGATTCCATTGGCAGAAGTATTGCTAATGAAATGTACCTACTGGCTTGCTGTTTGTCTTGTTTTTTATTTTTGTAATCTCAGTGGAAGTTTTTGTTTACCTGTACTACCAGTTACTAGCAATGCTTGTTGTTTGGGATTTGAGGTTATAAATGAGTACAAGTCCAATTTCCTTCATGTGACAAATTTTAGATATTATACACTGATGGTTTTCATCTGATGAGAAATACTACCAATCAAATACCAGATCACCTCCCGAGCCTGGCAGTCCTGATTCCTGGGCTCAGTGGTATAATCTGAGAAGACATTGAGTGGAAAAACAAGGTGATCTCTCAGTGATGCCGTTTTGCACAGCCCACTCCTCTTAAACACTGGTCCCTACCTGTCCTCCAGCCACTTCTTCATCCTCCTGAAGCCAGTGACGGGAAGTTCCTTTCTTTGTGGGGTACAGCTGGTCTCTGACACTGCACTTACCACGCGAGTTGTTTCAGATTCTCTTGGAGGTATTTGCAATGAGCAAGAAACTTTATAACATGATTTGTGCAATATGTTGGTGTAAAAATTGTTCCTAGGTTGTGGCTCTATTCTCTGATCTACCAATGAGATCCTCATTGTCTTCAGAGCCAGAATTAATGAAAGTCCTTCAATACTCACAGGCTTTTTTCTTTTTTAAAGTACTCATTGTCAATTTACAGGCATGCATAAAAGGACCTTTGAATTATAAAATGTTAGTGTTTTTCTGGCATAGGGTTTTGTATCTCTTACGTATACTTACTTGCTCATGGAAAAAAAAAGTACAGATCTATGAACACCATTCTATGGTGTATCTGCTATTAGCAGTAGTCTGGTGCTTATGATGACACATGCAAAATGAAACCCCAGTTGTGAATGGCATAAAATTTTTGTTAAACCTTGCTGGGTGGTAAAGTACAAAGTTCTGTTTTTGTATGTTGGTGGGGTTTTTTTTAATGTGTAAATGAGGAACTTTATATACCTTGTACCTTATCATACCTTTGAGAGAAGATGATTACTATTATTAGCAATCCTAAAAATCTGATAGTGATTTACAACCAAAAGTTGGTATCCTATCCTGTACAATAAGAGCAACTTGTGATTGGCTGTTAAGTGAAAGGTTTTCAAGATAGCATATGCATCCCTTCATATACCTTTTGTAAAATCTTGGTGTTTTTCCTCCCAGAAGATTTAGGATTGAGTAAAAATTTGGGAGATTATGCATGTATAGATACATAATTTAATGTTAACTTATACTCCTGCACATACATGTGCACACACACCAACATATCCAATTTTTATCTTCCCTCTTAGGAGAAACTGTCCTATATCAGACATAGACATGAGAAAATAAGATGATCAAAATTAGATTCTTTTTAATATATGTGCTTGAAGATCAATATAATTACCTTAGTTCACTGATAGAATCTATAGATTGTCAGCAATTCACTAAGTTGTTGGGTCAGTTAGTGAAAGCTACTCTGCCCGCATTATTTTAATTAAGTTTAGTTTTTTTCATGTCTTCAGTTTAATTTTGCCCTGTGCCATACCTAGTGCATATAATTCTTTCTCAGACTTCGTAAGAACTCCCATGCTGCTGAGTGTATGATGACTTGCAAACAGTTCACCGGCTCCTAAAGAAAACACTCCCCAATCACAACATACAACCCCTGTTATAAAGACAGCTGTGATCAGCATCTAATTGATGCAGTTTCTCTATGAAATGCACCTCGTTGGGTATGAAAAAGAGTCTGGATCATTAATGACATATTCCTCTTCTTCCTCCCTTTAGATCAAAAAGTATTTTGAACTTGAACCTCTCGCACGTGGAAAACGCTGGATTCTGCAGCCCTGCTCCCTGGATGACATGAACGCACTGAAAGACAGCTTCTCTCAGCTGATAAATTTGTTAGAAGAAAAAGACCATGAAGCCATGAGAATGTGAAGTCTGGCAAAGAAGATAGGTTCCCAAAAAGTCTTGAACCTATTGTGTTAGTTTCTCGTGGTCATTTCATTTTTGGTATCAAGATTATCATGGCTTCTAAATCTTTTTTCTCAGACCCTCATCTCTCTATTAAAGTGAATATTCTGTAAATCAGGTGAATTACTATCGGCATTAACGTCAAGTACACACTACTGAGAGAGAATTTATTCTCTGTTTACCACTATGCGTTCACTGCATGTCTCTTCCTTCTGTCATTCTGAGCATCTTTCGACACCTCATGCTAAAATGGATGGAACTCATGGCTCGCAGAAATCAGATTCTTTATGAAGAGCTCAGAAAGACTCAGATACCTTGATGACTAATGATCCCTGGGTTTGGGATTGGAATTTTGGAATTTTGTTCTGAGACTCCACATTATATATTTGTCATTTTCATGATCTCTTAGAAGCTTGGGTTGTTCTGTTTAAAAAAAAACAACAACTTTATTTTACCTTTTCTTGGTAGGGTTTTTCTTTGTATACTGATTTTGTATTTTTATGAGCAAAAAATTAATAAACACCAGAAATTTCCATTAATAATTTGATAATAAAGGAATATCTGACCATAGCAAAATTAGCTTTGAAGAATTTCAAGACCAGATGCATAATCTCTCCTTGATTCCCTCAGCAGGCTTATTCTTTCCTTCTTTTTTAAGAGACAAGGACATTATTTCAGTTTCTGAAAGTTGGAGGAAATGTAGGCACAGTGCATGCACCACTGATTACATTTGATCACATCTTAATATAGGTATCTTTTTCTAAGAATTTGAAATGTTTGATTGAAATAGAGAAAATAATTTTTAAAATAATAATTAAAAATTTTAAATCAGCCAAACAAATTATAATTTATACTGGTTAGGGTTTAAGCTGGCACAGATTTGACAAAGATATCAAAAACAGAATCATCTGTATATTTATGCATTAAATGATAATGTAGTTGAGTGGAGTCTGCCAAAGCCTCCAGCTAATACTTAAAGGTCTATCAGTATTTCTGTCATAAACCTCTATTTTCAGGGGTTTCAATGTGCCCTTAAAAATGGGCCTACAGCAAATAAATAATTTGAGGGCCTTGATTCAGCTTTTTGGAAGTAATTTTTCCATTTAATTTAAGTGATAAAACTATGTAGAGACAAATGTACAGTTTTAGTAAGGTTTAGCACCTTTGACCTTTTTTAAATCAAGAATCATCTATGGAAATGAAAGTTCATAGATGAGATATTCTTTGGCACATTTTGTAAGCTTTTGACCACTTATTAAAAGTAGCTAACCGATAGAATATGCTCCCTACATCTGGGCAATAAAGAAATGTTTGTAATTTTTAGATACCATAGACCTGTGTCTAAATCCCACGGACTGGCACTCTGTCTGTGAGGTGAACACTCGTCATTCTCTTTAGAACACATTTCAAACCCTTCACACCATTCAGACACAAGTTTTTTTCATTTCATCTTGCCAATGGATTTCAATGAGATCTTTACCTTTTTTTTCAAACATCCAACACTTACTAAAATTTGTTTTCTTTTTAAAAAGAACATGGATCAGAAACGGATCCATATAGATTCATATAACGTTTTGTCTGCCATATCCTTGAGTATCGTGAACATTGTAATAATCTGTGAGCAGCACAAAATTTGTATCCTGATGACCAACTATACAATGCCTGTTTTTATTTTGTCCTATTATGTTTCATCTTCTAAGGAAAAAAAGGAAGAAAGAAAGAAGTGATTTTTCAGGCCTTTGCTTTCCCTGCAAGTTCATTAAATGGAGAATGTTGTCTTTTGAAGATACCGTGGCTGAGTGCTCTTCAGCCATCTGTTAAATGACTTCCCTTTTTCTGTGTGTTCATGTGCTCGCCAATGATGGGCTTCTCCACAGCCCCACGACTGTCTGCAGCGACTCAGCCGTCAGAATGAAAACATTATCAATCAGTACCCAACAACAGCTGTTTTTGACAAGTTTCTGTCTGACGCCTAATGCTTTACAACTGTCAATAAGGCTCCTTCTTTGTCTAGCAGATCAGAGCCAGAGAGCTCCGATCTTGCTGCTTCTGCACAGCATCCTGTCCTTGTAACCCTAGATTTTTGCTATGTTTTGGAAATCCACGAGTGGGAAGGTTGAGCCTGGCTGGGTGAGGGGTGGGTAAAGGGGTGTTGTGTGTGTGTGTGTGTTTGTGTGTGTGTGTGTGTGTGTGAGTGTGTGTCTTTTTCTGACTTTTGTGGAAAGTGCCACAGGTGTCTTAGTTTGCATATTCAAATATTATATAGGAAAAACAGTCTGTTATGTATTTCTTCACTTAGCTTCTTGTTATATTTATGAAAGTTGCCAGTTTTTGTACCTTCTTAGGCAAAGCAGTTGCCTTTTTATAATGGCAATTAATTTATATAAAACTTTATATCTACTGTAGTTTACAGTATTGGTTGCTAATTAACTGCCATATCACCTTGTCTTTCTATTTTAAAAAAAATGCTGTTCTATATTTAGAGGTTAACAGATTCATGTGGACATTTGCCAGGCAAAAAGAACTTGTATTGTCCAAGATTTATATATGATTTCCACTATCTTCCAATGAAAATAAACGCTGAGTTAGAACTCAAGTTTTCAGACTAACTCCTTTCAGCTTTAGCATTTGGGAACCCCAGACTTTTTGTTTACCTTTTTTGATGTCTGTTTAAATCTTCAAAATAAGTTCTGTTCCTCTTGGGTCAAAACAAATGATTAAGTTACATTTCTTTTGAAGCTGTAGAGAAAACCTTCACAGGAAAAAAAAAGCATCTTTTCCAGTTGGTTTGTCTTCAGTTTACTTTTCCTGGGAGCCATTTCTTCAGAGGGAGTGATCCGATTTGAGAGGAGAATGTGAAGTAGCACCCATCAATCAAAGGATTATCTTACTCTATTTGCCCTAGAAGTTACTTCCTAAGAGTGAACTATTTCTTGCAATGGTAGTGGATGATGCCCTTGGAAATGAGTAGCTATTTTTCATTGACTCAAAGAGAAATGTTGTGTATTCACAGGTCCATTCTTAAGGATGAGAGTACTCTACATAAAGAGTGTGAAAATAAAATCCAACAATACACGGGTAGAAGAGGGAGGGTTCAGGAAAAGGGAGCAGGGAACTACTTAATAAAAGATGAAACATTCAGATCTCAGCTCTAGTTTCATCCCCAGTGCAATATGCTGACATGTTCTATTAGAGTCTGAACTGAGATCCAATGTGCACTCCCAGTTTCACTTGTAGGGTGATCATTTAAGCACTTGCCCATTTTATAAGCATCGAGACCTACCCAAGCAAATGTGGACAGAATTTAAGATGTTGAAGTACCTGGGCTTTTCTTCATTCCCAGATTGCATGTTCAGACTCAAGTGAAAATCTAATATTCCTGCTTGGCTTCAGCTTTAGAATTATGAGTGTATTTTCATTAACCTCCTGACCTTATGGAACAAACAGAAATGAAAAGGAGTCTGTGTGAGGTTGAGGGCACTCATTGGGGTTCCTTGTTTTCAATGTGTTTGGAAGGCCGGGTCTTTGTTATGGAGAAAGTTTAGAATACTGAATCTCTGTCTTTAGTTTCTCAGCCAGGTTCCTGGAGATCTGAAGCCCAGGCTGTGAAATGTATTACCACATCATGTTGGGAATTCCTGGCTCCCAAGGGTTCACAACTTTTGGTCACCACTGAGTCAGCATGATTAAATGAATTCCATCTCAGAGCTAAATGTTTTCCAACTCAGATGCATCAAGTAACTGATGAGCCCAAGTTTTGGCACCCTACCCCTACCTCCACCCCTTTGCACCCAGTTAGAAGCATGAAAAGGAGTCCTTGTCAACCACAGAAGCTTCAGATGGTCTGTGGATTAACCCCTCCCCTTTTCCCTATCTCTAAATTAAAAAAAAAAAATCCTGTCTACTGTTTCACCAGATTTGGAAATTCCGACTTCTTATCCTGAGAGTTTGTCTGTCTGTAACAACTGCTTCCTAATGTGAGTTTCTGTGAAGTCAGGGCAAAGAGTTGAAAAGTGACAAAGATGTCTGGCATCCTGCTTTCCTACAATTGGATGAAGTGAAAGTTAGTGATGTTTCTATCCATGTCCTCTGCAATCCCAACTTGCATTCTGCTCCATGAAGGGTGCCCTCGGTGTCAAAAGGCCACCTGTAATGTTCTCAGGCTGAGCATTTCTCTTCCCCCTTCTTCCGCTCAGCTCCTCAAATCATGTCTGAAGCATCCCGAGACACTGTATGAATCATCACTTTTTACAAGGGGTTGCTGCGGACCTTAAGGTTTTCAAAGCAATTTCACTTGCCATATATACCGTGTGAGGTTACAAGGATCTGTTCAGAAACTAAAGATAGGAACTCAAGCCTGTTCTTTTTAGCCAGGTTTATAACCTAATCTCACTCTTGGCCCCTTCCCTCTCTATCCTACTTTTAAAAACAGGATCTGCAAACTACTAAAGAAACCAAAATTGGAAGAAATAAACTGAAATTGGAAGAAATCCCTCCTTTCCTTGCTTATTTTCAAAAAATCAAGTTCTTTTAATCCATCTGATGTGCTCAAAAGAGTCTACATGATATTTCAGTCTAGTTCTTTGAAAAAACAATATTCTACCCAGTGAACTGGCTGGTGACACACATTCCCAGAGAAGAAAGGCTCGTTCAAACCTATGGGGACCGATCAAAATAAGCTTGGACTAACCAAGCATCAGGTTCCCTAGTCTCCCTCAGTTCCCGGCTTCCTTGTGATTTGGGGGTGCGGGGTGGGGAGGGCAATGGTGGGGGGAGCTGACTGTTTCAAAAAGCCTAAGATCACTTACATCACAAGCAAGCCTTCCTGAAGGTGTGAAATCCAGCCTCCAATGCCACCGCCTTTGCTGACAAATGATTCATTGAGACACAGGCTGGAGCTCCAGCATCAAACAGATGTCAGACAAAACACCAAATGCCTATAAATGATTGCTTTGCAAGCCATGGAATGGCTGGAAGACCTGGCCTTAATGATGTTCCCCATGTCTGGACAAGGTTACAGAAGCTGTGGGGGTGGGGAGCTGGTTTTACACCAATTCCGTGAAGAGAGCTGTTTCTGAGAGCATGAAATAAAACCTCGATTCTTACCTGAGAGGCTTATGTCAGAGTAATAGGTTCTGATTAGTCTGTGTACAATATATGGAAAAGTCAATCCAAAAAAATTCATATCAAGGGCATCTGAAAGGCCAGACTGGTATAATATCAAATCATTACACATAAGATCAGAGTAATTAAAAATGAGATTTTTGTCAGAACAAAAAAAAATGCTTACCAAAAGGCAGAGACGGGAATGCAAACAATACGCCTGGCTGTCATTGTCTGTAATCTGGAGCTAGTCAGGTTTAGCTCTGGACCTTCTCCAATTGTTTTACAACTTTCTAGACATGGGGTGTATCAACTGAACACTTTTATTAAGCAGCTTTGATAGGATATTTGAAATGATAGGTTGTTGAGAAAGCTTACCATTGTCCTTTTTACAGGTTTTATTTCACAATTGGAGCTTCCGGTTTTAATCATTTACAGCTTACATTCATTCATTCAACACATTTTTGTTGAACACCAGTCATATTACCAGTTATTGTGTTGGATGCTAAGGATATAGCAATAAATGACAGATTTAGTCTTTGAAGACTTTATAAAACATACGTTTGTAGGGCTTTAACTCTCCTAACACTGTAAATTAGATTATCTCCATGAGCTGAGAGATTGGGAGGGGGCATTTTGTTATATAATAATTGTGATGTGATTATAAATTTTCAAATACTTGTTCATAGTTAACCATCTCTCAGTTTTCCTAATTTAGAATTAGGAATTAATAGAAGTAGACATCTAATCCCATACATAAAAAAGACTCTTTTTTTTTTTTTTAGTATCTTTCCAAATAGAACCCTATAAAGCTAGCACCTTTTATTCTGCTATTTTACTGCCATAACAACAAAGCATGTGTCTAGCACACAAAAGTGCTTCTAACGTATAAAACCAAACTCTGTCAATTACCTCCTATTCTTTTAGTCTTCCTTGTATTCAGAGGGCTTTACCTTTTCTAGATGAACTTTGTCTCATCCTTCTGTCTGCCGATGAAACAAATGATTTGTATTTGAAATGTGGATTCTCCAGAAGAAAGTGCTTACTTAATAGCAAGCCCTCGTGTTTTATTCTACTCTACAATAAAGGCTCTGACATAAAAAGCATGCCCTACTGCACTTGCCCAAGCGGAGACAATACCTTGTAACTATATAACCCCTTTTTTTGTTTATTATTGTTATTATTGCTGTTATTGTTTTTAACATAGGCAGGTAGCAGTGAACTTCACCTGGATTTCAAGAGACTCCTTTGTTCTCCTCTCATCGAGATTGGAAACTTGGAGAAACCCAAGAGTTCTTTAGGGATTAAATATTGGTCCCTTAACAGGGAATAGTGCATTTTAACAGCAGGATCCAATGAAGTCAATAATAATGACAGATTGATTTAAATGTATGAGTTAATTAGATATCTGTCCCTTATCCCCTGTTTGCTATCATAAAAAAGGAAATAAGTAGGCTAGAACTATTCTTGTAAAAAAAAGAAAAGAAAGAAAGAACGAAAGAAAGAAAGAAATTTGAATCTGAGTCTAACCAACCTTCTAAATAATAACAATCCACAAGAACCACAGAAATAAGGAGTACATTAAAAAAACATACCATAATGAAATAAAATGTAGACTATTTGAAAGTTGACTGACAAAATGGTTTCTTAACCAGCAAGAAGGAAAAAGGAAATAGCGGTAACCTATAAATTAAAGGACTCAAGCCTCAAGCTCCATCAAACAATTGCAGTCATGGGGCTTATTGCATTTTATTTCAACTATTAAAATGTGAAGGAATAAAATTTAGACCACTGGAGGACAAATTGAAACACTGAATATTTTATGAATTAAGGAATCTGATTACAAGGATCTTTTAGGTATAATAATCAACTTTCCCATGGTATATTATCAACAGGAAACTTTATGACATTTTTATGGATGGGATATTATGTTGAGGATTACTTCAAAATCATGTGGCTGATGGAAGGAACAGGATGAGAGATGTTGATGAAGCATGATTGACCATGGGTGAAAACTGCTCCAGCCACATGTGTGATGGCTTGTTCTCTGCCTCTGGATGTGTAATGGACATTTTTCCCAAGAAGAGGGAGGGAGAGAAAGAGAGACTGAAGGAAGGAAGAAGGGAAGGGAGAAGATAGAGAGGAAAAAGGGGGAAAGGGAGAGAAATGAAGGAAGAGGAAAGGAAAGAGTAAAAACAAGGTATAAAATAGAAAATACTACTAATGCAAAAGGAAGCATATTGCCACAATATATTTAGAATTCGTGCAAATCAACAAGAAGAAAAGAATCCGCTTAGTGAGAAAATTAGCAAGGGATTTAAACAGGCACTTCACAGAGGAAAAGAATATCCCAATGGCCATCAATCTTATTATTAGCAAAGCACCAATAAGGACTATCATGAGAATACTCTGTTTCACTAGAGGACTACCAAAGGACGATACCAAGAAAAAGAATGACAGAATAAAATGAGTGTTACTCTGGCATGTTAATCG